TTGTTTATGAACAGGCATAAAACCTATGATACAGCCACTGCTAAGCAAACAAAGTAATTAAACACTCATACCTGTTTGTACATTACTGTTGTTTATTGTTTATGATAGGTTTGATGATGATATACCAATGCAAGCCTGTGAACCATATGGTATTCACAAGACTAAAGATGTTGCAAGGGAGGCAGTATATGAGTGTCCTGATGTCAATGTTAATGACACTGCTATTTATGAAGAAACATAACTTATGAAACAGTAAAAACTAACAGTGCAATTTAATATACATGTACATGTACACTATGTGATACAACAGTATACAATGCTTATGTACTTGCTTGTTATGCATACATACACTCCTAGATATACATTTTAGTTCTGGAGTGTCACTAGATTCATAATATCTTAAGGTGGGTTCTCAATATGACGCATTGTTCTTCATGCTCCAGCATCACAACCGAAAGTGCTATATACATGTAAACCAATGGGAGCATGCATCAATGCGTCAGAATAGAAATGTTTTCTAATCTGACGCATTGATGCATGTTCCCATTGGTTTATACAGCACTTCCAGTCGTGACAGGCGCACATGTGTCATATTGAGAATCCACCTTTAGTCTATTTTAGTGTAACTTTTATGATCACAGTAGAGTGTTATTGTAACTACATTCAATGTCCTTTTATCAATTCTAATGTTTGCAGTGTTTTTTATGGTGTTACTATCTAATCAAGTTACAGTAAACAATTAACAATAACTAACAGAAACTGCTGTATAAAGAAAATGCCTAACTAGGAGCTTCTGTCAAGTTCTGTGAGAAACACTAGCAAGACTGAAAATATCTCTTTCAAGTTTCAGTGCTTGCCAGTTGCCACTGTACATAAACCTAATGTTAATTTTCTTTCACAGATTAGCCCATTTCCTTATGAGGTTTGACTACTGACTTTTCTTTAAAATTATAAAGAAGTTACACATGTACAAAATAAAAGAACCTCATTAACCTCCTTTAATCTATGATAATAATAATAATAATAATAATAATAATAATAATAATAACAATACATGCCAGTATAAAAAATAACAACAACAATTCAAAAATGAAGATACAATAGTGAAAAAACAAGATATAGGATCAAAATTACTAAAATATTCAAAAACAAAACAGGAATGTATTATACATAATGTATGTACTTTATGCTCCCTAAAATGCAGTGAGAAGAGATTGCCTGTTGGTTTATTATAAGTAAAAACATGCACTGTCACTACTACTGTATGTCCTATTGAAGTTTGTCTATTATAATAATTGTGTGCATAAATGTCATGTGATCATCATGTGCTGAGTGGTTTGATCTGTGGGTGGATAAGTATCTCTTAGTGAGTTAGTGTATCAACCTTAGTGAGGTGTTGGTGTTGGTGTATGATATTTATGCTGCCATCTAGTCTGGACATAACTGTCTTGAATCATCCAATTAGACAATTAGCCAGCTATTTGTGTTACTATGGTTATAGCCATGCCTTATGCTAACATTTTACAGAGCACTGCAGAATACCAGTAATTGCATTTTTGAGCAGAGCAGGCAACCCTGGCATTCCATTGGGATAATCTCAGTTTCATAGTTTTTTCTACTGAATATGTACATGTATAATGTACACCACAGACTCTTTTAACACTACACAGCAAATCTAAGATCTATTTGCACCAAATGGTCTCTCTTGTATAAGTTGCAATGGTAAGTCCCTTTAACATCATGTAGTATTTTTGCTGCTACTTTTAAATCATGTAGTCATGTGCACACAGGGAGTGGGCCACACTACACTCAGCACACTGTAAATCTATTTACAAAACTATCTGCTGCGCTATCATAACAGTTTCACATGATTTGATAAACACACCCACAGACATTTCTTTGGTCAACAATGCCTTCACTACAAGTGGTTGTCTTCTTGTTGAGTGTCAGTGAAGTTATTAGTCAATGTCCACCTTCCTCAAGTAAGACACTGGATGTGTATAATAACAACTGTATAGGTTTTTATAGGTATCTACCTGAGGCATAATGGAAACTGTTATACTAATAATGGATCATTTTTTACTGATGGTAGCATCAGACCAACTCCTCTAGAGTGTGGATTACCTGGTGCTACTCTTAATGGTGGACAATGGATTGGTCCTAATGGAGTAGTTCCTTGTGATGGTGGTAACAATCAAAATGTTCAATGCACTACTGGATCAGCTGCTAACCTCAGTGTTTTCATTAATCCACCAAGCTTTCTTGGGGCAGATGGTGATGGCCAGTATATGTGTTGTCTACCCACTAGTTGTTCAACTCCTGGTACTAACATCATCACTGCTACTATATTCAGTAAGAGGACACTATAATCACTTACTGATGTAATAATTTTCATTTGTAGGATTTGTAGAGATAGAATCATTTACTGTTGCTGATCTTCCTTCTGATATGACAGTATATCCTCAGGAATACAAACTGAATTGTATTAAAATTGGACACATTAGATATGGTATTAGTATGAGCATTGGTAGTACTGCACTGGCTAGTTACACTAACTGTGATTATCCTAGTAATAATTGTCCTGGTACTGAGTTAAGTGGTGCTGTTGCAAACACAGTAAGATATACTGTTAATATCACATGGGATGGAATGACTGTCAGTAGTGGATCAGTCAGTCAATCGACCACTGGAGATCAAATGTATCAGTGCAGGGTAGCAGATGATCCTGGTGCTAATGAAATTAGAATTCGTAATATAATTATAAAAGGTAATGTCAATGAATACCAATAATTTTAATACCAATAATATTAGTACCAGCAACTCCTCCCTCTTCTCTTACTGAAATCAACAAGACAACTACCACTATCACTGTCAGTTGGACTGCACTTAATTCATCTGATGCTGATGGATATGTAGTCAATGTCACTAGTGACACAGACACTGTGCAGACAGTACAGGTGGAGGGAAGTAGTAATAATACAATCACACTGAATGGACTGAGAGGAGGAGCAACTTATAGCATCACAGTCAGAGCCTATCAGCAATTACTGGGACCTGCTAGTACAATCAGTGTACAGACCTTACCAGGTATTGCTACTGCACCTTTTAATGTACTATTAACATTGTTGATGTATTTCTAGTTATTAATTCAATCAATTGGACACTAGTCTCATCCATTACACAACTCAATAACACTCAATATCGTATTGATTGTCTCACAACTACTGATATAAATCCTTTAACTGATGTTTACTGGTTAGTGAATGGAGTGATGAAGAATAGCTCAGTGTATACATCAATTGATGTCCTGACATACAACAACACACTACTGGTATATCCTGATCCACTGGGAGTGTCAGTTAATGTTACCTGTATAGCAATGATTGGAGGAGTCAACTACAGTCAATCTGTGATATTACATGGTATGATTATACTTCAATCAATAGTAGATACCTTTGTCTCTTTTCTAGCTCCTAGTAGTCCTCCAAATAATGTGAGAGGGTTTATATTAAATGCTACTAATATCAAAGTGAACTGGACCAATTCATCAGAGACTAATGGATATGTGATTGAGTATACTACTGGAGGTGTAACCAGGAATGTAGTATCTACCAGTGAAGATAAAATTGTACTAACAGATCTCTCACCAATGAGTACCTATACCATCAGTGTGTACTCATATATAATCTTCCTTCAGTTAATAGTACAATAACAGTGTTA